GAGTCTTACTCTGTCGCCCAGGCTGGAGTGCAGTGGCATGATTCTGACTCACTGCAACCTCTGCCTCCCGGGTTCAAGCGATTCTCCTGCCTCAGCCTCCCAGGTAGCTGGGATTACAGGCACCCACTATCATGCCCGGCTAATTTTTGTATTTTTGTAGAGGCGGGGTTTCATCATGTTGGCCAGGGTGGGCTTGAATTCCTGACCTCAGGTGATCTGCCTGCCTTGGCCTTCCAAAGTGCTAGCATTACAGCCGTGAGCCACAGTGCCTGGGCTTCCTTATGATTTTCTTAATAAAACTTTTTTTCCTCTAGCTTACTTTATTGTAAGAATATGGTAAATATAATATACAAAATATATGTTAATCAACTCTTCTAGATAAGGCTTCCAGCCAACAGTAGGCTAGTAATAGTTAAGTTTTGGGGAAGCCAAAAGTTATACACAAATTTCTGACTGTGTGGGGGAGTCAGTCCCCCTAAACACCCCATGTTGTATAGGGGTCAACTGTGTAAGTTGATAAATCTTTCTGGAGGATAACTGGGCAGTTTCTGTCAAAATTGAAAATATATGCACCTTTCCATTCTGCATGCCACTAGCTAGAATGTACCCTGTGATAAACTTGCAAAACTTTACTCATGCATAAACTTGCTTGTTTCCTCCAAGTGAGGTGCAGGAAAAGAGAAAGAGGAAGAGGGAAAGAGGGAGAGAGAGAGGTAGGCAACCCACCAGCAAGAAAATGGGGAGTTTTGGCTGGGCACGGTTGCTCATGACTGTAATCCCAGCACTTTGGGATGCTGAGGTGGGTGGATCACCTGAGGTCAGTAATTTGAGACCAGCCTGGCCAAGGTGGTGAAACCCGTCTCTACTAAAAATATAAAAATCAGCTTGGCATGGTGGCAGGCACCTGTAATCCCAGCACTTTGGGAGGCCGAGGTGGGTGGATCACCTGAGGTCAGTAATTTGAGACCAGCCTGGCCAAGGTGGTGAAACCCCGTCTCCACTAAAAATACAAAAATTAGCCTTGGCATGGTGGCAGGCACCTGTAATCCCAGCTACTTAGGAGGCTGAGGCAGGAGAATCACTTGAACCCAGGAGGCGGAGGTTGCAGTGAGCCGAGATCGCGCCACTGCATTCCACAGCCTGGGTGACAGAGCGTGACTCTGTCTCCAAAAAAAAAAAAAAAAAAAAAAAGGGCAGTCTTTTGGTAACCTAATCCTGTAGGGAACATCTCATCACTTTTGCTGTATTCTGTCCATCAGAAGCAAGTCACCGGGTCCAGCCCACACTCAAGGGGAGGGGATTACAGAAGGGCACAAATACCAAGAGGGAGGGATAGGTGAGGGTCATCTCAGAGGCTGCCTGCCACAGAGACTCAGGTTGGTACTGCCCTAGGTGATGGGGAAAGCAAACATCAGTCCTCTTGGGAAGTACTTGACTTCAGCAGAGGTGAAGAGCAGTTTTAAGACACTGCCAAGTGAAGGTGCCCCTGGTTTTAGAGAGATTGCATGGAGGCAGTGGAGGCTGGACTGGAGGAGAAAGAGACTAACAGGGACAGAGAGACCATTAGGAAGACCTTGCAAAGATCCAAGCAAAGATCCATCCGTGCCTGGCTGGCTTCTTAACTGTCTTCAGCTCAACAATCCTTCAAATTTTGGTCTCCCACTGTTACTAGCAGTGGAATCTAATCCTAATGTAGACAGATGGTAACACTATTTCCATTTTACAAACAATGAAGTACACAGAGATTAAGGAACTTGCCTGAGGTCACTCATCCGGTAAGTGGCAGAGCCAAGACTTGGATCCAAGCACAGGGCTTCAGAGCCGGCCAGTGTGGGCGGCCGGTGTGGGCCACTGCTGCTAGAGAAGACACAACTCAGCACACATTTGCTTCACTGATGGTATAAAAAGACTTCATGGCGGCTTTCACTCCCCTGTCAAAATGTCCTCACTTTTGTCTTCTCACCCATTCTGCTTTGTGCCCATCCTACTTTCCACTCATTCCTAACTTGCACATCTTTGCTGATGTGATTCTTCTTTGGTCTGGAAGGAACTCTCCCATCTCTCTACCTGTTGAAATTCCATTCATCCATCAAGGCCCATCTTCTTTCATATTCCTCCAACAAATGACTTCATCCACTTTTATGAACTGATGTATTTCACAAATATTTATTGAGATCTGCTGTGTGCTGGGCACAAGGGATTCTACAACGTGTAAAACATGAAGTTAGTTGTAAGCTATTGTACTTATCTTTGGGTTTGCTACAGCAGTGGCTTTCAAACTTAAAAAACAAACATAGTCTAACCATAATACATCACCACACACACACACACACACACAACCCCCAATGATTTAAGAAACAATATTTACCTTTACTACGTGTAGCCATTCTGATCATGTAAACTCAATTCTATTTCATTAAGATAAAAATGATGGTTGATACCTTCTGTAAAATTTTACCTCTACTAAAATTAATTTTATAGCCAATTAAGAGCCTATTAATGAGCTGGAACACACAAGTTTGAGAAATATTCATTCCATCCTTCACCCAATCATCTAAACAAAGATGTCCTTGGTGCCCACTATGTGCTGGGCACAGCTCTGGCATCGGGATAAAAAGGAGGAAGAGTGTTTGCCCTCAAAGTGAGCAGGCTAATGAAGATAACAGAGCTTGAGAGCAAAGGCTACACACACAGTGCTATGTGCTATGGTGGTAGTGTGCTTGGGACACATGTGCATGCTGGTAGCTCAACAAATATTAAGAGAATTAAACTAAGGGATAGGCACCAAAATTATAAAAAGAAAATGGAATAGTGACTTCCTCAAAAGCAGACCCTTAGCAGCTCCTGGGTCTACTGTGATGTGAAACTGGCATCCAACTCCTGATTCACTAGTGCATTGCTAATAAGAGTCAATCCTGGGCTGGGTGTGGTAGCTCATGCCTATAATCCCAGTACTTTGGGAGGCCAAGGCAGGCGGATCACCTGAGGTCAGGAGTTCAAGACCAGCCTCGCCGATATGGTGAAACCCTGTCTCTACTAAATATACAAAAATTAGCTGGGCGTGGTGACACGCGCCTGTAACTCCAGCTACTTGGGAAGCTGAGGAAGGAATTGCTTGAACCTGGGAGGCGGAGGCTGCAGTGAGCCGAGATGATGCCACTGCACTCCAGCCTGGGCAACAGAGCGAGACTCCGTCACACAAAAAAAGTCAATCCGTGCACCCTAGGTCCCTGATTAAATGCTTCTGTGATTGCCTTCCTCCTTCTTAGTGGCTCTTTGCAGGCCCTGCCTACCTCTTACCTGCTGATTTTTTCCAGAGTTATAGCCCAAGCCTCATTCCAGCCTCTTTCCATTCTAGTCTCTGAGGGTGCGGCTACTAACCAAGCTGCAAGTCCCAGTCGCTGAACAAAACGTTTTTCTCTGCTGCACCCCAGTGTCTGACGCACTCAGATTCCACTTCTGAACACCTCTCATCCCTGAATATTTGTCACCCCTTCTCCACCCTGACAAGTCCCCCTCCTTCCAGTTTCCATCTTACCCCATCCATTGTCCAAAAGTCCGTAAGAATGATTTTTTTTTTTTTTTTTGGTGACGGAGTCTCGCTCTGTTTCCCAGGCTGGAGCGCAGTGGCGCGATCTCGGCTCCCGGGTTCACGCCATTCTCCTGTCTCAGCCTCCCAAGTAGGTGGGACTACAGGCGCCCGCCACCATGCCCGGCTAATTTTTTTGTATTTTTAGTAGAGACGGAGTTTCACGGTGTTAGACATGATAGTCTCCATCTCCTGACCTCGTGATCCGCTCGCCTTGGCCTTCCAAAGTGCTGGGATTACAGGCGTGAGCCACCGCGCCCGGCCAAGACTGATTTTTCTAGAACATATTTGACCGTGTCATTTCTCCATTTAGGTTGCCTCAGTGGTTGCCCATTGCCTGTACGACCAAGTGCAAGCTCCTTAGCAGGGGAAACGAGGCTTCTTATGATCAGGCAACCCCACCCCGCTGCTCCTTCATGTGACTGTTATATAGCTGCTTTAGTGAAGTGTGAAAGGTGAAATCAAAACGTCTTTTTGTTTTGAGGTCAAAACGCCTTGAAGCAGTGTGTTTACATGGCTGTTGTAGCTTTCTGGAAGATAATGTTGGAACGTGGTTGGAACGTGGTAGCTCCGGTAGTCAAACTGAGAAAATGTCTGCACTCGTGAGCGTTATTTCGTGGACTACCGCAGGCAAAGGACAGGTCGGCACAGGGGAAGAGAACAGCCAGCTGCTTCCACCCTTTCACTGTCCTACCCATTTCTGTGCTAACTACCCATGTAGTTAGCAGAGAACACCCCAGTAACATTGTCCAAATAGGGCAAAGTTTTTGCTAGAGGCCGAAAATTCGTGAAAGGAATCAATACTCCAAGATAAAGTGCACCAGTTTGCAGTAATATGCGTTTGCAATCACATTCTTTGGTTCTCTCTAAAGGGCTGTTACGTGAATAAAACGGAAATACTGCAGTAACATGGGACTAGTTGGAAAGGTGCTGGGAATGCGGGAGGGAGAGAAACCGCGTCGCGGAGAAAGCCGCAGCGCAGCTACTGCGCGCGAACTCGCTCTCAAGCGAAAACCGCAAACGGTGTGACGAGAGCGCGTTGTGGCCCCAAAGGCCGGTCTCACAGCGACCTGGGCGTTCAAGGTCGTGTCCTCGAGGGCCAGGGAGCCTGGCGAGGCCACCGCACGGCCATGTCGCGTCTGCACCGCCGGTTGGGCTCTCAGGCACCCGCTACTCAGAGCCCTGTTATCCGGCGCCGGGAACCACGAACCAGCCAGCACCGCGGGTCCTGCAGCGGCCGCCGCCCTTCGCAGGCGGCCCAGGCAGCCCCGTCTCGCCCCAGCGTTAGGAGGCGCGCAGCGGAACCCCGGCGGTCCTAGCCCCTCCCCGCCTCCGCATCCCCGTACGACCCGCCTCTCAGATCCCGGCCGGGGCTCCCGGGCGCGCCGCGGCGGGGCGGGGCCTTCTGGCAGTTTCTGGGCGCTGCGAACGCGCCGCTCCAGGGCTCGGCGGCCGGAAACGCCGGCTTCGGAGCCGCAGCGCCTTGGCCTCTCCGTGTTTTCCGTCCAGTCTGCGCCGCCCGCGCCGCCATGGCCAAGTGGGGCCAGGGAGACCCGCGCTGGATCGTGGAGGAGCGGGAGGACGGGACCAACGTGAACAACTGGCATTGGTGCGGCCGGCGGGGTGGCGCGGCCGGCGACGGCCTCCTTCCGGGATCTGGGGAGGGCCGGCCCGCGGGAGCTGGGACTGCGCTGGGGTCTGTGCGGGGCCGCAGGGTCGCGGGGGTGAGGGGACTAGGGGGCCACGCCCCTCCTCTGCTGCTGGACGCAGGTTTCGGCCTCCGCCTCGGCTCAGGAGCGTCCTTGGGTACCGAGACCGGCGAGGGCGGGTTGCAGCTGCCTCGTTTTGAAAGTTGGGTTGGGCCCCACGAGTGACTTCCGACAGACCTTTCCACTCCCACCGTCTGTGGTCTTAGGGCCTTCCCTTCTCCTCCCGCCCCACTCCTCTGGATGTTTCGGGGAGTTAGAAGGGAGCTGGATTGAGAGAGTGTGTTAGGGGCGGGGGCGGGTGCATGGAACGCAGTGGAAAGAGCAGAAATTTGGATCTCAGTTCGCGCCCACCCCGCAGGCGTTCCCCGCCAGCCGGGCCTACTGTGAGTGAGACAAGCTCCCCTTACTTTGCGCGCCTCACCTGGCGCGTGGGGCGAGGTCGGCCGCCCTCTGCTGCAGAACCTCCGGAAGGGGTATCCTCTGCCCTGCGCCCCTGGCCGGGGCTGTGGTCCCTCCAGGCCGTCAAGGGGATGCTGAGGCCGGTCCCCAGGGGAGCATGACTTGGCTGGTCTGGAGGAGCCCCGAGGGCATGGGCAATCTTGGCTCACGCAATCTCTGCTTCCCGGGTCAAGGGAGTCTCCTGCCTCAGCCTCATGAGTAGCTGGGACTACAGGCGTGAACCACCACGCCAGTCTGATGTTTGTATTTTTAGTAGAGACGGGGTTTCACCATGTTGGTCAGGCTGGTCTCGAACTCCAGACCTCGTGATCCGTCCGCCTCGGCCTCCCAAAGTGCTGGGATTACAGGCGTGAGCTACGGCGGCCGGCCAAGAACTGACTTTCTAGTGTCCTGGCCTTGGCCCGATGGACACGTCAGTCCTCTCAGCTGGTTTCTGTCCCGTAAAGGGAGACTATTACTTGGGAAGATTACATTAGATGATGTGTATGTGAAGAAACTTGATAGCTGGTATTGTCATGATTCTGATTATTTCACTACTGCTACTTTCCATGTGGCCCAGGCTTTGTCTGTCTATTTCCAGTGGGCGAGCTAGCTAGACCCTTCTCCCCTAAATAAGCCAGTGTTTTTAAGACAGAATACTACTTTCGTAGTGGAGAATAATATCTTAAAGAACTGAGCAGAATGAAAATAATTTGGTAGAAAGCAGGTTTGAGGAGCACGTTGGAGGTTGGCAGGTCTCGAGGCTGCTTGAGAGGACTTGGGCTGATCTGGGCTGGGCTTGGACGTGACGCTGGCCCCCAGGCAGGTGGATCCTAGCTGGGGCTTCCATTCACGACTTTCTGGTCCCTGGCAGGACAGAGCGGGATGCCACCAGCTGGTCCAAAGGGAAGTTCCAGGAGCTCCTGGTGGGCATCGTTGTGGAGAATGACACTGGCCGCGGCGAGATCAGCGAGTTGAAGCAGGTGGAAGGGGAGGCTTCGTGCAGTAGTCGCAAAGGAAAGCTGATTTTCTTCTATGAGTGGTACATCAAACTGGGCTGGAAAGGTAACGGGGGCCTCAGGGTACTAGTGGGGCTGGGGACAAAGTGTGTTCATCATTCAGTGAATGTTTTTACAGCTCCTGCTATGGGCCTGGCACTGACTGGCTCCTGAATCAGCATTAGTAGTTCTTGACATTCTGGCCACACTTGAGTTCCATGGTCCAAGAAGGGTGGGGGTTTCCCTTCTCGGAGCACTTGCAGCTGTTTAGAGTTCATTGCTGTCAGCTGGGCCCTCTTCTACCAGGCACTTGTGAACAGGAGTCTGGGCGTTGCTGCCTGGAGCACTCTTCCTCCAGGTAGCTGCCTGCCTCCTTCAGGTCTTTGTCCTGAGTGAAGCCATCTCTCTGCATCCTTGGAGACCCCTGCCTTGTGCCATATTTCTTCCCTACTTTATTTTTCCCCAAGGCACTGAAACTTGCTTTACACAAATAGTTTGCTTTCTGTCCTGCTCCATCTTCCTGTCATTCATTAGTGCGGGGAATTTTTTTTTTTAAACGGCTTTATTGAGACATAATTCACTCATTTAGTGTATATAATTCATTGGTTTTCAGTATAGTCACAGAGTTGTGCAGCCATCACTACAATCAATTTGGGAACATTTAACCACCCCAAAACAAAACCCTGGACCCATGAGCAGTCACTGTTGTTGCCCTCCTCTTCCCCAGCCCCTGGCATCCGCTCCCCCATTGTCTCTGGATTGGCCTCTGGACATTTCACATAGATGAATCATGCAGGATGTGTTTTTTGGTGTCTGCCTTCTTTTGCTTCATAATGTGTTCAAGGGTCATCTGTATTGTGGCAGGTAGCAGCACTTGATTCTTTTTTATAGATGATCAATATTCCATGGGTGCATATACCGCATTCTGTTTCTCCATTTATCAGTTGCTGGGCATTTCGGGTGTGTCCACTTTTGGGGTCTGTGGGTTCAGTTCTTCAGTGGTGCCTCGATCCTGGCTGGACAGACAGCGTGTGTGCACTCAGTCCTTGTTGAGGGAGCCAAGGCTGTGGAGATGCAGGGAAGGGAAGAGGAGGAGTTAGGGTTTGAGCCTCAGTCCGGGAGTCAGCTGCTATCTGGAGTTTGTGTCCCAGAGTAGTCCAGTGAGTTGGCCTCGAGCCTCTGCCCTGCTGGCTGCCTTTCTAGCAGACGAGGGTGTTCAGCCCCTCCCCACCGCCTCAGAACAGGACCCTCTGGCTGGGAGTTTGCCTCTCTTGCAACCCCCCGGTGTCTGCTGCTGGCTGGATCATAGCAGTCTGGCTCCCTGCCTGCTCCCCCAGCACCGGGCCCTAGGGCCTGAGGAACCTTGTGGGCCTTGTGTCTTTTCCATCTCCCTTGGCTTCTTTGCAAGGATGAGACCCAGCCATTGCCAGGCAGCAGCCAGAGGACAGGCTCTGAGGGCTTGTTGTAACGCCTCCAGCTGCTCTCCTCTAGCAGTGAGTCTAGGGCAGCAGCTGGGACCCACTGAGGAGGAGGCAACACTCTAGTCCTGCGAGAAGTCCACCTGCCTGGCATCCCCACACAATGTCCCCAAGCCAGAGCTTCCCTCCGCTCCGTGGTCAGAACACACTGTCCCTTTCTGTCCTTCCATCGCTTTTGTGACTGCTTCTCCCCTTCAGGGTACTCCTTTATCCTGCTTTGCCCAGGCGAAGAATACCCTGGGACAAAAAGAGAAATATGGGTACACTTGCCCCACACTCCCCTCAGGACGGCAGGCCGCTGACTTTTCATGCCCTCTCCTTGGTCATGGTCTGCCTGACCTTTCTTCCGTGGCTACTCAGGGGGCCCTGGAGTGGTGGAACTCTGTGAGGGCCGCTGGGCTATTCAGTGAGGCAGGACAGTTTTTCATAAAAGCAGTTTTGTTTTTTTTTTTCTTTTCGAGACAAGGCTCACTGCAGCCTTGACCGCCCAGCAATCCTCCCACCTCAGCCTTCCAAGTAACTGAGACCACAGGTGTGCGGCACCATGCCCAGATAGTTTTATTTTGTAGAGACGGTGTCTCCCTGTGTTGCCCAGGATGGTCTTTTAAACTCCTGGGCTCAATCCATCCTCCCACCTCAGCCTCTCAAAGTGCTGAGATTATAGGCGTGTGCCACAGTGCCTGGCCCAGTTGTTACTTTTTATTATAATTGAAGAACCCATTTTGCTCATTTTAGGCATCGTTAAAGAATCTGGAGTGAAGCACAAGGGATTGATTGAAATACCCAATCTTTCTGAGGAAAATGAAGTAGATGACACTGAGGTATGTCATCAAGTTTCTATTTCTTTTGTTCTTTTTTCAGTCAAGCTTCTGCTACAGACATTGGGCATTTCAAATAGTGTTGATCAGACTGTGATTCCTGTGTGGTAGTTCCGTTGCCTTGTGGAGGGCCTGTTTGCTGAGAAGGATTGCCATACTGTGGGAGCAGCATGTTGTGTGGAGCTGGAGTGGTACAGGAAAGAGAGTAAGCCCCAGGAAGCCCTGAGCTCCCCCAAGGACCAGGCAAGGGGCCTGGGCAGCTGACTGCACCCTTCTTAGCCTCCTCATCTGTGAAAAGGGGTTAATTTCTCTTCCAGGGGTGTTGTCAGGTTACATGTGACAGTGTGTGCACTGTGAACTGCTCAGGCAGCTTGCATGGCTTGATGAACGTGACTTTCTCTCCTGCACCTTTGCTGTTTCCCTTTAACGGTGAGAAGTCTCAGCTTTTAGCTGTGAGCTATCCCTTGGTTACGCCTCACGGCTTTTTGTGAACTACCCAGTTAGTAGGCGTTGCTTTTGTGGCTCTCCTGGGAGGCAGAGTCGTGTGTAACTCCCACTCTTGGCTTCCAGTTAGTGCCCTCTTCTGGCTGAAAGCTGGGTTTTGGGGGTGAGACCATTTTTACAGCTGCTATATTTTTCACACCAAGATAGTCTGACAGAGGATCTTTTTTGATTTGTGAATGTATTTAACGTGAGGGCTTTCCAAGATAGGCTGACTCCTGCCCAGCAGCATGTCTTCTGGCCCGAAGGTTATACAGTGCCACAGGCCAGGGCTGTCCCAGACCTGTCTTCAGTTATGTGGTTCCTCCGCTCAGGGCTTGAGATTCCACTTTGTTATATTCAGATCCATCAGCTGAGAGTTTTTCAACAGAATGTTTAACTGGTTTTTAAGATTTAATCCCTCAGTGGCATTACAGAACAAACTTTATAGATTCAAACTGGGGCCCAAGATCAGGCCCACCTCAGCTGAAGCATCGAGATGCTAAATTTTTTCAAATCAACACCTCTTTTTCTTCTGGGAATACTAGACATCCCCAAAGCCCTCTGTTGCTTCCTTATCCCTCGGTCTCCCCCTCCTCCCCTCTCTTCTTCCTTCCCTCTGCCTGTCTTCTACTCTTCTCCCTTTCCCAATTTTGTTCTTTGTCAAAAAAGTATATAGTCCAAGGCTGGGTTATATGGGAACTTGATTTCCCTAATTACAGTGGCTTTGGGTTCTATACCAGCACTGTTCCATATAAAAATAATGCAAGCCACATGTGCAATTTAAGTTTTACTAGTAGCTGTACTTAAAAAGTTAAAGCTATGGCTGGGCATGGTGACTCACACTTGTGATCCCAGCACTTTGGGAGGCCAAGGTACGAGGCTCACTTGAGCCCGGGAGTTCGAGGCTGCAATGAGCCATGGTCATGCTACTGAACTCCAGTCTAGGCAACAGGGAGACCCTGTCTCTTAAAAAAAAAAATTAGAGCCCAGGTGTAGTGGCAGATGCCTGTAATCCCAGCTGCTTGGGAGGTCGAGGGAAAGATCGTTTGAGCCCAGGAGTTTGGGTCTAGCCTTGGCAACATAACAAGATACAAGCTCTTTAAAAAAAAGATAAACAGGTGAAATTAATTTTAATATATTTTATTTAACCCAGTATATAAAAAAGATTTTAGCATGTAATTAATATAAAAAATATGAGGTATTTTACATTCTTTTTTGGTACTAAGTCTTTGGAGTCTGGCACGTATTATTTCACACAGCACTTCTTGATTCAGGCCAGCCACATTTCAGGTTCTCAGTAGCCACATGTGACTAGTGGCTACCATACCGGACAGTGCATTTCTAGACGCCATGAAAGCCACGGACCACATCAGCAATAGAATTTATGTACATACACATGCACAATTTTGTATGCAAATTAAGGGGTTTACATTCTGTGAAGTCTATGCAAGATTGGCCCCCAACCCTGTCATGGACCCTGGATTAAAAACCCTTAAAATCCTGCCCTGCACATCTCTTACATCCACTTCTTTCCTTCCTCCACTGCCATAGTTCTCTCATCCATACAGCCCAATGTTGTAAGAATACATCAAACCAGATCTTTCTTTGGTTTGTATTTTTCTGATTTGTAGGTGAACGTGAGTAAAAAGAAAGGAGATGGGGATATACTGAAGGATCTTATGAAAACTGCAGGCACCGCCAAGGTCAGGCAGGCCCTTGGAGATTACCTGAAGGCACTTAAGACGGGTAAAGAAGGCATCCCTTGTGAACCAGAGGGTCCCTTTTCTATTTACCCGTTATACTCTGCACTGTGGTCAGAGGCTCCAGAAGCAAGTTTATACTTCAGAATAAATTGTAGTCTGGAAGTTGAGAGCTAGTCATGGTTAAGACCATAATTAGTGATCTTCACTATTGTACACAGCATGAACCATTTTGCCTACAGAAGTGTTAATTGTAGTTTTCTGGAATGAAAATCAGTTGTTTGTGTAATTACTTGTTTAATGTCTGTCTTCCTTGCTAGACTATAAGCTCCATGAGGGCATGGAAGGTGTCTGTCTTGTTCACTGCTGTATCTCCAGCATCTAGCACAATGCCTGGCACATAGTAGGTGCTTAATACATCTTTGTTGGATGAATGAATGAATGGATGAAAGTGACTGCAGGTATTACAGGTGTAGTTGAGAAATACCTAGATAATATCAACATTGCATGGAAATGTGGTTATTGTCTTCTTCGCTAAGTTAGAGAAGTGAGCCAGGCAAGATGGCCAGCAGTGCCTGTATCTCTGTACCTCATTCTTGGACCCTGCTACCTGAGTATCTGGGTGTTGGCATGGATGGGTTTGGGGTTGTCACTTTTCCCATGGGAGTGCACGTGTAGCTGGCTCACAGGCTTGACTACTGTGAAGACAGGCTTTGTGAGGCGGTGGCCACCCTCACATGAGAAATTGTCTGTTTTCACAGTGGGTTAGAGCCCCAAAGCTATTAGTAGTTAATCTCATAAAACTTAGCTGTATGCAAAAGAACTTTGGAAAATTTTTCAGTTTTAGCAAAAACTTGATAAAAGTGAGGCGTTTGAAAAAAGAAAAGGCTTTTGTTGCTGTGGAACTCACGTTGTTAATCATCAGTTTTATATGTAAAAACATGGAATGGTCTTGAGATTCTCAAAATGTTATAGGAATTATTTTTATAAATATGTTTTATTTTCTTACACGCTGTTTTGGGTTTTCTACCTTACTCTTTGTGCTTAAAAGGAGAAAGGTCTTTATTAAAACCACTTCCCTTGTTTCTTTCTAGAATTTACAACGGGAATGATTTTACCAGCGAAAGCTATGGCAACCCAGGAACTGACTGTCAAAAGAAAACCGAGTGAGAATACCCTGCAGGTATGAGCTCTGTTGGCCAAAATGTGGGGAAGGGGTAAAGGAAGTATTTGAGTTAGGGCCCTGAATAACCTTGTGGTGTTGGAGAAATGAGGACAGTGAGGGCCTTTTCCACCTTTGGGTCTCCCGTGAGTCCTCTAAGATCTCCCATTTTGTTGTGCAAATGATAAAATGAGACTTTGATTCTTGATGGATTGTTACAGACACACCTTTCTATGGGATATTTGACTCAAGACTCTCCTAAAGGCAGTGTTCTTTGGTAGGCCACAGATTACAAAACCAGATGACTTTCAAGATACACATAGCACAATGAAAGAACCTTCTTTGCTGACTTTTGGGAGATTTTTAGATCGGTTCTTGGAATGGGTGTTTTATGTGTAATTGACACCCTTTAGCTTTAGGTGCAGTTGTCTTTCATCTGCTCACGGCTGTATCTGGAAGTCCAGCTAGGATTAGGGGTATTCAGTCATAACCTGGGAACGGAGCTGAAGAGCTGTAGGAACAGTGAGCTCTGGTTCCAAAGTAAAGACCAAGACTGGTGGTGCTAAAAAGGCTTTTCATGCTGCTTTTGTGTGTGTCTGGAATAGGCAGTATGGAATTTGGGACATTTGCTGTTTTCTTGAGAAGACTTATTTCCATCCAAGCAGCTTTATCCCTTGTTATGCTAAACATTCCCTGGAACTTCTTCCCTTCTCCAGGTTCAGGCCTCATCTCCAGTGGCACTGGGTGTAAGGATTCCCACTGTGGCTCTTCACATGATGGAACTGTTTGACACAACTGTAGAGCAGCTGTATAGCATCTTCACTGTGAAGGATGTGAGTAACTCCCTACGCTAGCATGTTAAATGCTGACATTGGGAGAAAATACATCACAAAGAACAGGAGCTGGTTTTTGGTTTTCCTTGTGTTTTTGATTGAAGGGATGTGGGATGGTGGTGACAGGAAGTCTGAGCATAGTTTCTGAATAATCGGAGGGGAGATGGGCATTCTTTGGGACTATGTCCATATTACATTGAGTTTTCTCTTCTAGGAAGAGAAAGTTTGTATTTTATTTTCCATAAGTAAAAGCTACATGTTTAGGATTTTTAAACCATAGTTAATTGTTACATTTTGTATCTCATAATTACATTAAAATATGTGATAGTGTGTGCTGGAATAACATCTGTTTTATTTGGTTAGTTGGTGCAAAAGTTTTCTAAATCTACTGCTGTATTAGAAGCTGAAAAGGGAGGGAAATTCCAGATGTTTGATGGGAACATCACTGGTGAATATCTAGAATTGGTAAGTAGACTCAAGGTTCAAGAAGTAAGATGGGATTAACTCAATATTACTTTTTATACGTGCTGTTTTTAGCACCAAAATCACTAGGGTCTCTGTTGCCTCACCCTTAATAGCAGCCCTCTGTTCTGGTTACTATTACTGTACTTAAAACAATATTATATATTCCTACTGTTCTTGATGTCACTGCTGTTTTGAGACATTTTGACACTAAAGACAATTATCAGTGGTGCTGATGTATAAACTGGAAGAGGGACCGTATATTGTTCATTGATTCTTCTAGTATTTAGGAGTTTCAGTGAAAGGATTTGTTGTTCTGTGTTGTATTGTGGGGAGTTTTAAAAGATTTTCAGTGGAGTTTCCCCTTTCTTTTCAGTTAACAAATAAGAAGATCGTCATGAAATGGAGATGTAAGAACTGGCCAGAAGGTATGTTACGAATTAGTGCCCTTTATGTTAAAGGCCCCAGAACATTTAAGGCTGGGTTTTTCATATGGATACATTTTCCTTTTCATAATGCAGTAATAAGGTTCCTATTTTTTTTCTTAGAACACTATGCCACGGTTGCACTGAATTTTGTGCCTACTCTAGGGCAAACGGAATTACAATTGGACTGTAAAGGAGTTCCTGTCTGTAAAGAAGAGAACATGAAATTCTGTTGGCAGAAGCAGCATTTTGAAGAAATAAAAGGTTTACTGCAGCTGACCCCCCTAAATGGTTGAATTAAAATTTTATAAGGCATTACTTTTTGTACGCAGAAGTGTCACATTGACCTCTTCGCTATATACTTTTTTTTTTAAAAAAGGACCATCTTTATTTTATATTGGATGAAATCTGTGAACGTATACACAATTTAAAGCATTGACTCTTTATTATAACTAGACACTGCACTGAGTTAAAAGTAGCAAACCTGAAATTAGGCATTAACCTGACCTTCCATAGATACTCTAGAAATAGCTAAGTAAGTCCCGAGTGTAGAGAGTTGGTTTCCCAAACTGAACAGCAAGCTTGCTTGCAGCTGTACTTTTAGTTCAAGATGACAAAAAATAAATGGCAGGTTGACACTGTTCCTTTATTTTACTTAGGGTTTTTAAGGTGTGTATATCTTAAGGTAGTAAAACAGTGGTATATTGCATTCAAAAGCATATTGATGGGCAAATTGGCTGTGTTTTGCTCCACTTCTTCCTGCTGTGGTTTTGCACTTTGGGGTGGAGAGGATTGAGAAGTCTGTGGGGACACATTAATTTTGTAGAGTGCTGGTAACACTTCCAGTGAAACAGCATATAATGGATAAGTGTTTCCCCTCGTTCACGGTTTTTCACTACTTTCACCTGAGAAGACTGAAGCAACGTATGTAAACAAATGAAAAGTCATCACAATCAGTTTAATTAAGTGCACAGAATAGCAATCAGTCATGTCAATAAAAATAAAACAATTATTTTTACATCAAGTGTGCTTTATTTCCTCCACAGGTATTCTGTTAAATAAAGCACCATTTATATACTGCCAGGCCACAGCTAAAGAGGATTCTTTACAGAATCAAATTTCTTGTGGTTGTTCCGTATACAAGTAAACTTAATTTTGATAATAAGAACCACAGCGATCGGAGGCAATCTGCCTCTATAAGGTACAAAACTGGCACAGAGGACACCATATTATACACAGTAAAAATGCTGTAAGTTTAAATTACATTGTACAGGGCTAGGGAACCCTGTTCTTCCCAGACAGCCATATTAAATGAAAGCCACTACAGTGAACTCTTAATTACATAAAACATATCCATTATCTGATTGCCCTTTAGGAAGTATACTGAAGATGCAAGTTTTTTTCATCTGGAGTTCTGCCTGACCAAGAATTAAGCCTATAAATCTATCTTGCCATTCAAGCAGAGAGCACTAGACAAACTGAAGCACAAAAACAAATAAGCAAAACTTATACAAACAGCATGGGGGTGAGGGACTTAAAAGTAGACATGCTACACCTAATGTCAAGAAGCAGCTTGGTTTCCTTTGCCAGATATCCTTGTGACCACATGGATTGTAGATTCAATGGTCCTACACAGGGTATCTAAAATGTCATGTTGCTGCATATGACTAAAGAGTCCTCTGGAATGGCCACAACTGAGAGACAAAGCAACCTCGGGGTCCTGGGAGGGCAAAGGTTGGCCATCACAGCTTCTCAAGTCAGCTAAGTCAGACAGAACTGCAGAGATAGAAGTAGAAGGGAACTCAGATTCTTCCTCAGCTAGGGTAGAATCCTTGGAACAGTGGAGGTCTTTAAATTCTTTACAATCGTCATATCTACCATTGCTGGACTGTTCTTCTGTGTGCTGTGACCTGATATTTGACATGTCTTCTGAAAACGAAGATGGAACTTCCATTCGATATTCTTTAACAGAACTATTTTCGGGGGAAGGAAGATCTTGCTCAGTTCCTGGATCAATAATTGAGGAGTCTCTGGTCTCATTGTCAGAAGTGCTCGTTGGGGTCAGGACCTCCCTGGTTTCTGTTTTCATGTCACTGATGCAGCTGTCTACAGTGTGCTCCTCATCACTGCTAACACGCCTTCTTTTAACGGGAGTTGCTCCTTCATCATCTGTGAAAACATACGCCAAAACGGAAACTTCTCTGAAAGTCATTAAGATCACATGGGGGATGTGGGAAGTTAATTTTGTTTCTAGCATTTATATTTAGGAGGTTCAGCTGAACATACAACTATGAAACCAGCTACACCAAGTGTATTACTCCCTCCTCCCACCCTAAAAGTAATAATGATAGTAGTCCATAAAGCTAACCTTTAGTTTTTCTTTCTTTGGCTTCTTGCTCTTGGAGTGAGTTTCTCTGTTGCAGACAAGTCCTGCATTTGCTTAAAAGCTCTTGCAGAGTTGGAATCAGAGCTGGGTTTAACTGTTTGGGAGTGTGTACTGACAGGAGCAAAGCAAGTGCCCTCAGGTCCTACAAAAACCCAGATAGGAACATTTCAAATTCTAAAGCCAATACTTTGATGCAGTTGTTTATAGTTAATTGCAGATGTTTATTTTCCCAGGAATCCATTCTTTCCTAAGAATACTCTGGTTTCTCTGGGATTCTTAGAAGAATGATAAAACCAGAAAGCCAGTGTTAGGATACTACAGCATTTCATTAGTTTGTTGTTGTTGTTGTTTTGAGGTAGTGTTCTTGTTCTATGGCAAGGCTGGAGTGCAGTGGTGTAATAGCTCGCTGCAACCTCCACCTCCGGGTTCAAGCGATTCCCCTTCCTCAGCCTCCTGAGTAGCTGGGACTACAGGCGCCCGCCACCACACCTGGCTTAATTTTTTGTATTTTAGTAAAGATGGGGTTTCACCATGTTGGCCAGGATGGTCTCAATCTTCTGACCTCCTTATCTACTGGCCTCAGCCTCCCAAAATGCTGGGATTGCAGGCGTGAGCCACTGCCCGGCCTCATTAGTTCTTAAAGTCACTAATAGCATTATTTTATGCCCACAAACAAGTAAGTCAGACCAAAGACAAATCGTGTTTTCTGAAAATGGAAAAGGAAATACAAGAATTTCAAAAACCTTGAAATCATAGTTTCTCAAGTTAAATCCTGATGTCACAAATAGTAAGGTCTTCCTTACTGAGCTCTGTCATCTGTTCTGGCTTTTATGCTATTGTGATTCGGGAGGCTGCTGCTCAACATTCTAGCCTATTTCCAGGGTGTTCCATTATTCTAGGACATGGCTGTCATGGGAGTCTGCACAAGGCAACTAATGCTCTAGATTTAACTGCCTTTTTAAATCAGTAGATCATTGTTTCAGTTACTTCGGAGCCATAGGCAGTAACAGAAACATCACAAGTAATGTTTCCAAAAATATACTCAAGTAGAGAGAAGTCCACTAAGACGTTCCCTTTATTACCCTTAGTATTTAATGATACCAGCTTGTAGCTTCCAAGGTGATGGAGTGTGCTGTGTACATACAAGGCATCGTGAACGCGTAATTAAAATTTGTTTTTTGTCGTACGTGGCTTAGAGTTCGAATCAGTAAGTTAAAGTTATGAGAGCAAAATACGAAGGCCACATAGTTAACTGAAGGGCAGTTTAGAAGTGTGTGCCGCTGCCGCCTCTGCATAGTTCTTACCCCATTTAAAGAAGCACTTGCTTTGGAAATTTCAACTCGGTTGGAGAAATCAGACTGTAGGTTCTGATACTGACTTATCAAGTTTGTAATAAGAGTGCTGATCAAATTGGCACAGTTTGCTTCAGAAAACACTTGACTTTGAACCTGAAAAAGAAGATTTAAAAAAATCTCCAAAAGACCAGCATAATGAAAACACAAGCTTAACTAATTGGAAATGACACACTGAGTTTCCAGAGTACTACATACCTTTAGAAGGAAATGTGTCATGAACGTGTAGACAATGTTGTTGTTTAAAAAAGTTCTTTCATCCATTAGGATACATTTAATATATTCTGCGAAAACAGGATCTTCACACAAAAGCTTGATGCAATTTTTTGACATAGCAGACTAAAGTGGGGAGAAGAAGCACTTATGGTTGAGCACGGAAATAACTGGGGCTTAAACACTTGTGTATGACGGAATCTGAAGCCATTGAAAATGCTACTTGAAAAGCCATGTCTAACTTGCCTATTGAATTTTTAGTTAACAGCAACTATTTTTCATACAGTAAAGTGTTACTAATTTGGACTATGGGAGTGCTGGGGGAAAGACACTGATGCCAAAACTAAACAAATGTTGTAAAAGAAATGCAGGTCTATTATCCAGCACTGAGAGAGTTAACAAGGACTGGAAAAATAAACCTAACAAAGAATAGGATGTGAATGTTTTCAAGGGCCAAATTAATGTATTTATAGGTAACCAGACCGTATGTTGTGAAGACACATTTTAAGAATCAAAATCAATTCTCCAAAATGTTTTAAACTTTACTGTATATTCTCATTAGCAACAGTAATTTTGTAAATACCTTCCCCCCCATAAACACTACAAAGATAAACAATAAGCCTTCTTTCCTAATTATCTCACACAGAATCAGTGGTCCCAATATATGGAAATTTTACTAAAATTTGGTTTTCCTGTTTTCAAATAGTCATGGCTCTTAAACACAAGTAGTATGTCTTTAAGCAGATACACTCCGTAGATTTAAATGTGTATTTTAATAATAGATCATTTATTTATATGGAAAAAAGCAATTTTTTTTAAATAGGACAAAATTTAGATAATATGTATATATGCATATGTGTATATTTTATTAGAGTAAGCAGCTGTCGTAAGTAAATTACTCAAGGTCAGTCAAGAAATTAGGATTCAAGTAGGACCAAGACCCAGGTCTTGAGATCCTTAACACTAAGAAAAATCCGCCTTGGTCTACCAGTCACAGCCTCTGCCTATGTTTCTTGCTCAGGATGGCTGCTTCTGTAAGACTAGAAGCTTTGGAGGCCTTATATGGTTCAGCTTTATTTTAAGGGAAATTCGGGGGCACAGGGAGTTCTGTCTGTGAAAGAAGTCAAGTGAAGGGAGTCCTGCGGTGCAGAAGTAGAGAAGGCAATAGGGAGCAATAGGTAGTGGGAGAGTACAGAAACCAAGACACTACCCAAATCAGGAAGAATGAAAAACAGCAGCAGTAGCAGTGGAAAGGGAAAATGAGATCTCCAACTGACTGAACAGAACAGTCAGCTCAAAAATCAACTGATAAACTCATTTTCTGAATGCCTACTATATGCTAAGTCAAGGGAGCTAAGATCAATGTATACTAGCCTCTGAAAGATTTCTACTGTAGAGAACAAAGTGGCATTTCTTCAGGGAATGGAGATGACTCTGATAAGGTCTCTACACTTGAGCTCTGTTTGGGAAAAGTAGAGA